TTATAATTGTAGTACTAATGAAATACGTTTGTTAATTTTAAAAAGAAATACTAATAGATATACATACCTATATGAGAATGATTTTTTTGCTGTAATTATTGTTCAACAGAATAGGCTAATAATGATCTGAAGCTTCTGTATTCACCTATGTTAGCAGGAGTAAGCCTATTTTACAAAATATCTACTTATAATAATATTGATAATATATGTTTCACAATGCAGTTAAAGTCTGATGGTTAGAAAGTTTGACTTGCAATCTAAGGTTCATGGGTTTCAATACCCTTCACACCCAACATGCTCGCCATTTCAAATATAGTAGAAATTATATTGTGGCAATCAATCCCACTATTCCTTAGTAAGAGCAGCCCAAGTTGTCAGTTGATGATATTGACTAGCTGCTTTGTCTGTAACTGCTAAATTAGGGTTGGCTAGTGGTGATAACCCTTGCTTAGCTTTTCACAAAATTAAAACAACATAATGCATTTCTTTAAGTTAAGTTTAAAGTTAAAGCCAGAGTTTTTTTTATTTTGTAAACCAAGAAGCATGCATATGCTGTTACAGTCAGCTACATTTAAGTTAAAGTATTTTAAAAACAAATCTGAATTTTAAATTAATAAATATTAAATAATCGCAGTCACCCATGGCACTGTCTCCAGTGTGTTATTCCTCTGGACTCCTCAGCGTGTATCCCCCCACCTTTTTCTAGTAGAGCATGGGAGTCCTTGCTATTTTCAGTTCCCAGTTGCTGGAGTGGTGGACTATGGAAGTTTCCTTTGAGTGGGATTTGTATGATAAAACAAACTTCATAGTCATATGCAACCACTCTTGAGAAGAGAGCTATCATAGTTATATTTCATATTATACATTATCATAATATGCTCAATCCAAAGTGCTTCTGGATGTTTTTTGCCTTGGTAGATTGAACTTGTTGATCATGAAATACAAATTTTATGCAAGGTTTTTCCCACTGGATGTTTCTGCCCGATTGGACCACACTTGTCATACTACATCATATCACAAGGTGCTTCCCCCAGATGCTTTTGCCTGGGCAGACTGCACTTGTTGATCTCTAAATATATTTTGTTCAAAATATAAATCACTCAATCTTATGCAAGGCGCTTCCACTGGATGTTTTCTGCCCAGATGAACTGCATTTGACATACTTCATAATATTATAAGGTGTTCCCCCCCAGATGTTTTTGCCCGAGCTGAATGGAAAATTGGTTAAAAGTTTGTAGCCTATAAATACTCTCAAACCTCCATCCAATAGGCAATTTACTCATAAAAGTCAAACCATGTGTCACATGTGTTAACTTCAATCACAAAGTAAGAAGGTGTACAGAAAATAATCATTAGCAATGGCAGAACAAAGGAATGAACAAAAAGTTAATCATTTTGCAAAGTTGAAGATATTGCAAAATAAAAAGTTTGGCTATTGGGAAGTTAACATTTTCTATCACTGAAAATGTATTTCCAAAGGTACATTGCTAAAATTTTTCAACAGACCACCAGTCTTTTATACCCCTTCATTTTTGCACCATTGCAGCAACATGTGCTGATCTTGTGACTACCCACCACCAATCATACTACACCACCTATACTAGCACCACTTCTACCATTGCAGCACAATCCTCACTTTCGAGAATTGGTAGATACAAACCAGAAACTCAGTGGGGAAAAAGGGAGGGAAGAGATAAGTATCTATTGGAAATACATTTTTAGTGTTAGAAAATGTTAACTTCTGAAACAGTACTACCTCCCCTCACCCAAAGCTAGAATCTCACATTGCAAAGGTGGAAGGGCTGGTGTAGGCACAGAAGTAATCAAACAAGTGGAGAACAACCATCGTGAAAAAACAGGTGTGCCACAAGTGTTAAAGGAAGCACACTTGTGGGGTATAAAACTACTACTGGAACAGTTATGCTCTTCGCCCACTAATGAACAAATAAACAGGCACGATGTTATGTAATATAGATTCCACCTGTGGAAAACAGATAGTGCATAAGATATCCACATATGTAACAAGCGTGACACAATCAATTGAAGAAGGTACCTGGAATCAGATTATAAGAATATGTGGCTAGGGCTAATGGACTAAATTTATATGTATAGGCCAAGTGCAATCTGCCCGGGCAAAAACAACAGTGGAAGCACCTAGCATAAGATTGTAAGATATCAACAAGTGTGGTCCACCTGGGCAAAAAACATCCAGGGGAAGTGCCTTGGAGTTATATTAAGATAGCCAAGTGTGGTCAGCCCAGACAAAACATCTGAGGGGATCACCATGCATGGTATCTTTTACATAACAGATTGTGTGATCAACAAGTGATCTAGTATAGTAAGGATGCTACATGACCAATCAGAGTTGAGAAAAGAGTATGGGATTGTTACAGAAAACTGACATATTTATTACTCAGTAAAGCCATTTAAATATCATTGTTGTTAAAGAAAAAAGTATAGCATTGTTATAAAAGAACTGGGATACACGAATAAGGAAGTACACTATGCTACTGTAACATTAGGTGGACAGACAATGATTTATAAGCATAAGGAAAAGTTTTATTGATGGTGGAACATACTACATGTTTCCACAGAACATTGGTCTGTCTTTTTTTATGAAGAAGATAGACCAGTGTTTTGTTAAAACATGTAGTATGTTCCACCATCAATAAAACTTTTCTTTATGCTTATAAATTGTTGTTTGCCTATCTATTATAAATAACTTGGATGCCTGAATTTAGTACAGTAGTTATTAAATGAACTATTTTTTTGTTGAAACATAATTGTCCTTAGTTTCCATACAATAAAACTATAAAAGATTCTTGTCAGTGTTGGTACAGTGTAATAATATATAACTCACTGAAAATAAATCCACTCCAATCTTAGAAAAACAGCCAATACAACATTTACTACTTGGCAAGAAATTGAACAAAACTTATGATGATAGTGATACTAGATGTCCTTCTTGCAGATATTAAATTGATTCATAAGGTGGAAAACAAAGTATTATAAGAAATATTCTAAAAGCAATAATATGAAATCGTGAATTACATCTATCACAAATAATCTGAAAGCTTCAAAATACATTAACAACGAACATCTTTATAAACTTAAAAACAACATAAGCTTTTATGCAAGAAGTTGATAGAGATTGAAGTTATGAAAAATATATTAAAACAATTAATTTAGTGGTTATGCTAACCTTTCAAACTTACATTTTTTATCGCATGCTTTCTCAAAATCTGCATTTTCAACCATTACATCTATTTTTATTTTTACATATTGTACTGAAGTAGTTTATTAATTTCCAAGTAACGTTATTCCATACTAAGTTAATATACAAGGAGTAATTGGTCACCTGCAGTGGTATATGGGATACTAGAAATGTTTAAACCTCATGCATTCATTTAGAAATGAGGAGAGATTTATTCACTATCAGTCACCTATTGCATTAATGCTGTGCACAGTGTACACTTTCCAGACAATCTAATATTATTTTTACATGCTCATTAGTTTCTGTAGTAATTTTGGAGCCTTAAGTGTTGTACAACCTACACATAGTAGAGCTAGTCATAATTGAACTGGAGATCTGTTCCTATAAATAGGCTAACTTAATGCAAGTTAGCAGTGTTAACATATTATTGATTGTTAGACTATTATAAGATACAAATTAGGCAGTGTCTAGTAATGAATATCAAGTAGTGAATTTACATTTCTAATTTATCACATCATTAAAAGATTAGCACGAAAAAATTGGATAAAGAATACTGCTTTGGAACTGGGGTAGGGGTTGTAAAATTAATAGTGTTTGCCCCACATAAAAAAAAATCAGTGCTCTAGATGCACCAGTGCCTGTCACAACTTACAATAGATCACAAATTCAGGAAGTAAAAGTTATGATATTACAAACATAACACATATACAATGTACAAAAGTATATATTATAGTGTACTTGACACTAATGAGTAAAGTTATGCAATTTCATAAATTATATCTCAATGTAAAAAACAGATTTTACAATCTACACCTTATCAGGGATGGATCCAGGTCTTTCTAGGGTTACAACTAGATCTTTACCAGTAATATACAAATTTACATTAAGGCCATTGTAGTACTTGCTATTAAATATGGAGGAGAGTCCAGACCCCCCTATATCTCTCATCTAAATCCACACATGCCTATACAAAATTAAAAAAAAGTTTTTCATTTACTTAAAAAAAGTGAAGATATCCAACTTCCTCACCTAGGTCCTTGGCTGCTAATATGACATTAAAAAATAGTTATTAATATCTGGAAAAAAGTTGGGGGATCCACATGTTTGATACCCCCTACCATAGAACCATGCCTGCTTATGCAACACTAAATAATGCTTTACCAAATAAACTTAGAAGCATAACACAATTTAAAAAACAATACATTTACACTTTATTTAACACTACATTAGCCAGAGATTAGGTGGTGGGTGCTGCCAGCCAGTTACCTTCCTTCTAGTCAGTGGTTCAAAATTAGTGACAGTGATTAGGTAGCCTTTATTCCAATATTGTCTTACCTCCTTTCACACAAAGCTATCTCAATCTTCTTTCTGCCCTCTATGCAATACTAAAAACTTTTCATACCCAGTGCACCAGTCTGTGTACCCCATCAATTTCATGCCATTTTTGAACATTTATATATCATGTCACTACTCTCTACCAGCGGTATTGCAACACCTAAATTGGTGCAGCTAGCTTTCTCTGCTATTCCCGTTCAATCCTCATTTTCATGATTGGCACAGCTTCACTTAGACGTATTTTTTTTTGCATGTGGCTACTGTTTATGATCGTACTTCTTTGTCATTTCAAATTATTTTATTTCAACAGTTTTCTTTTACTATTCGAATTCTCATACAAAGCTGTCTCAATCATCTTTCTGCCCTCTAAGCATTACTAAAAACTTTTCATGCCCAGTGCACCAGTCTGTGTACCCCATCAATTTGATGCCAATTTTGAACATTTATATATCATGTGACTTCTCTCCACAAGCAGTATTGCACCTGTTACGATATCGAGGTCACGTGACTAGTATTATGCCACGTCACTCTCAAACATTCACGTCTTTTCCTTAAATCTCGTGATCCTTCTAGATATAGTGTAGTCTTGTATATATAAGATCGGCCACGAAGCGACTGGGAGGTAATGAGTAATTGAATGTATGCGGACAGAATATTGTTGGCCACGTGAGACGTGAGTTATAGCATTTGTTATAGAGCGACTGTTGAAATTAAGTGTATTGTTAAGTTGTATCCGGAAAGAACAAACCAGTTTTATTTAAGAAAGAACTTGTGTCGCTAAAGTTTAGTCGGAAAGAATTTATGGAAAATTAACTAACGACTGGAGGCGTAACACACCACTTATATTGGTGCAGCTAGCCTTCTCTGCTATTCCCGTTCAATTCTCTCTCTTTCAGGATTGGCACAGCTTCACTTAGACGTTTTTTTTTGTTTTTTTTGCATGTGGCTACTGTTTATGATCGTGCTTCTTTGCGATTTTAAATTATTTTATTTCAACAGTTTTCTTTTACTATTTGAATTCAATTGTATCAACGATTTTTTTTTCACTTGTTTTTTTGGTACTGAATTATACAA